GGGGGGGGGGGAGGGGCTAGATGATATTTTTATGGTGGTATTGAAAAAACTTGAAAGATTTCAATACCATTTCAGTAATGTCTGTTTTTTACAGAATGACACAAAAAGGTGTTTTTTATCTATCTGCAGAGGGACTGCTAACAGTTATTTATATGAGAAAATAATGGTAACGAAGATCCTTTTTTTTTTTTTATTCTACTGAATGTTAACTTTGTAAAATAATGAATGCAAATCATGCAAAAAAAATACGTCACACCCCATATATACACATGCGTGCACCCGCACACATATATATATGTGTGTATATACATATATATATGTATGTATATTGAAAAGAAAATGCGTATAGCTTGCAATGTCAGATTTCTTTGTGTTTTGGGGGAGGTGGTTTTCTGTAAAATGCAGAGCTTTGTATAAACTTTTGTTTTTTTCTAATAAAGTTGAAATGTACTGTTGTCTCTGTTCATCTAAGAGGGCAAGGTGCCATGGTTCTGGAAAAAGCACTACTCCTCCCTTCCTTTTATTTCCTGGATAAGAAGGTAGTGGAGGAAGGGGGCGGGGGAAGCCTCTTCTTTTTTTTTTTTTTTTTTTTTTTTTTTTTGCCTCTTTTTTTTTTTTTTTTTCTTTTTTTTTTTGAAGACTGCCAGAGCTCTTTGGATGGGTTTGGTCTTGTGTGACCCAGTACCTGGGTCAGCCTGTGTTGCCACATTGCCTGCAGGGGTTCACTTCCCCATTGAGACATGATCTGAATTCTTTTTCACCTGTCCAAGTATCTTGAATACTGATGAAGGACATAAGGGAGAAGACAACACATGGTGATGAAAAAGATCATATAGACTATTTGGCTGTACAAATTAGCATTTAATCCACTATTACAGTGATTGCTCTCATTCACTGTAAGAATGGTAAATGGACTGTGGGTAAAAGGAAACAGCATCAAACTTTGTATTGCAAGTCTATTCTCATATTCTGGGTTGTTTGTTTTGAACAAAATGTAATAATTTATAAGCCAGTGAGCATGTCTGTCTTGGGCATAGTAGCAACTGTTTGTGTAACTTCTTCACTGACTAGAAGTGATAGGTGAGCTGGGTAGAACTGATGTGGAAAATACGAGGTAACTGAATGGTAAAAGCAAATGGGCATTTTCAATAGTAATATGTTTTCACTGTTTGCTCTTTAATTTGGTGTAAGTTACTAGAAATACAGTTTCTAGCATAGTGTATAGCCATTGGTAATAGGCTAAGGTAGGTTTAGGTAATCAGGCATGATCTTTATTTTTTTAGCAGATAGCATAGGAAAAAAGAAATTAGCTTCTTAGGAGAAATGGAACATGACTTGGAGGATGTAGTTCTGAAGAGGGCTATTTCACCCAACTAGAACAGACTACATAGGCTTTGTGGCTAATGTATATTCTTAAGCGCATGGGTAACTTTAAGATCATATTTAAATTCTTAGGTCTGCACTTCTAGCATGGGTTTGATGTATGAAGACAGAGCATTTGATTTTCCTAATTGAATCTGGTCACTGAAAATGGTTGTTTTCCTTTATTATTATTAAGGATTCCTTGGCATTAAGCATTTTGCCTTTTTTTTTTTTCCCCCTTTCTCCAGAGCTTGCTAAAATACCTGATCTTGAGGTTTCTTTTGACTTCTGTCCTGCTTTTTGAGAAGGATTTAAATTTTTGCTGGTTAAGGAAAGCTAGAACAGTAAGTGAAACTGTTCGTGTCAGCAAAGTGCTGAACTTTGCTGATCTGCTCTAAACTCCTTTTAATCTGCAAATGACACAACTGTGCAACTTGTTTTATCCTATATTCAAAACTGTTACCTGTTAGTTGTTTTTTTTTTTTAATCTATGATCTTTTATTCCTATTATGCTCTCGGGTAGCTCAAGGACTTTTTCTCAAGCTCAAGAAGTTGCTGAGACTGAACTACGCAGGCCACCTCCTTCAAATCTTGCCCTTCTGCTAATGACTAGTGTGTTGCTCAGCTGTGGCCATCTTCCACAATGCGTGTTACTGCTGATGTATGCCGAAGGAGCCATTCTTCTTCTGTATGTGTGAAATCATCTCTGTAAGTACAGTTCATGTAGTCCTTCAGTTCAAGGAGCCCTGTTCTGGAGTGACGATGCCAAGATCACTGACTGGATGCATTGACATACAGTGTTTGAAGGACCATCCCTAAAGCTACTTGGAGCAAGAACTTCAAATCCTGTACAAACAGTAATAGTCACTTAATATGGCATCTTCTGAAGCCTGGTGGTATAATTTTGTAGAATTTTCAAAGAAGAAAAAAAAGCATTCTGGTAAAAGTGCAGTTAGCTATGAGTTTACTTGAGGTAATTTCTTTGATTTCAGTCTAATCCCAGTTGTAATACCTTGAAATCCGAGTATAGGCAAGGTCCAATTTACCAACTCCCCCCTTTCAGAGTTGCATATCAAATGTAAACACAACATCTATCTTCAGGATTTACTGGGTAATCATTGCTTCTGAAATCTTGGTGTTCCTGGGTATGTTTCTAATGTGCCAGACAAAGAAATGGCAGCTCCTGAACTATATTGCTTTTGTATTTATTTTTGGTTTGGTTTTTCCCTGTGAAGCTATAGGGACAGGAATGTCTGGTGCCTCAAGTAAAGTTAAAGGTAAGGTCTGTGACCAAGTGGGGTGAGGAGGAGGCTTTTATTGCTTTTACCACATGGGTTTTGGGTTTTTTTTCCTTTTTTCCTCCTGCCAGTAATAGATTAAAAAAGCAAATCCTTTTTGGCTACTGAAAAGGCAGACTGTTATGACTTCCAGGCCAATAGCAAAAACATTTTTGTTCCAAAGCAAATGGAAAAAAATATTTTGAATCAGATGTTGAGAGTAATTTGTGGATAGTTGATAACACTTTCTGTGCTGTTATTACTGGGCATTGTTTTTACACATGGTAACATGCATGTCACTGATCACCATTGTTAAGGTGGTATAGAACTGGGGTTTGGCTGTATTTAATGCAATTTCATTTCCTGGCACAAGGATTATATAATCTATGTATAGTTAAGACCAAGAATTTATCTCTCGGAGGCAAGGACTAGTGTTTTACTAAGAATTAATTTTGTTGAGCACAGCTGTCATTAGTGGCTTCTGCCCACTGTCTGAAAAATGCTGTTCTTCAAAAGCTAATAATGTTTCATTCTGCAACCAAAATATTGAATCAAGGAAGATACTGAGTATCTTCCTTAATTTTATCATGTACTAGGGTTTGTCAGTTGTTGTGTCTTGACAGTTTTTTGTTTTGTTGGGTTTGGTGGTTTTTTTATGAGAATGAGATTTCCGTATGAATAACAAAATTAATGTCTTTTGCAGCCAAAATAAACACCATATGGTTAGGGAGAAAGGGACCAGGAAAAGATGAGGAAGGCATGGCAGCGAAGCTGATTAGGAGACAAAATGGACTGAATGGGGACAGAGGGGCCGGGTGAGAACATACTAAGCCTTACCATCCAGGCTGGGATCACACCGCTGTTGAATCCAACACTCTGGTTTTGGCTGTGGTGTTGATATTTCAATGAAGGTGAAAAATCAATGGTGTACATAGCTTGTGTGTACAGTGTTACACACTGAGCATAGCTAATTTCTGTTCCTGCAGATGTTTTTCATATTTTTTAAGGATAAAGGCAGCAGGGTAAACGAGATGCTCAGAACAAAAAGCAGCAAACACAAATTTTGTGATCTCTTGCTTAGTCATATAAAGCTGGGATGAAGAAGCTTTGTTCTTGCAGGTGAAGAACTTCAGTGTAGGTGTTGAGAGTTAATTGCCATCTTTCCCTTTCTTCTAGCTGATGACTAGGAATCCACTAATGCTAAGCTTTGAAGCATGTGTCAGGGTTTTAGGAGTAACCTTGGCGTACTGTATGAGCTGTATGATCCCATGTACGCTTTGGTGAGAACTTCCCTGTGGGACTCTCAGCTGTTTGTTGCAGGGCACAGTGCCACAGGTAGGATTCTGAAGGGTAACAACAGAGCAGTATCTGGGGTTTGTTGGCTTCTGGAGGATGACTTATCTTCATTTGAATGACTTCTTGATGTTAATACTTAGAGACTCCAGGCAAATCTCACCAGAGATTTAAAGACACCACTCTCCTTGGATAGACATTTTTGTTCCTGCTGCTGTTTATCTAGTGCATGTATGAGGATGACACCCCATCAGCCAGTGCTTGTTAGCCAACCTCAGAATCCCTGTTCCACAGTCTTCAAAGCTGTCTTAGAGCTTGCCGACCTCTGTGCAGCTTTGTTCATGTAATGTGGGTATCTTGCTGCCTGTGGATTTCTTTTGGCCACAGCTGACCTTTAAAATAGAGTTGGGGCCTTAGAGACTATACATGAACATGCATGATTTTTTTTGTTTCCCCTCCTCTCCTCCCCAGAACCCACAAGGCATCTATACCAAGCATATGAGCTGTTTGCCACGTCTTTAGGAGTTCAATGCTTGCAGAGGCTCCAATGCAGGCTCAGGTTGCAACCTTACAATGCTCAGATGCAACAAAATAGGAGCTACAATGTCGTGGGGCTTTTCTGTATATTATCTCAAAAATATTTTCTATCCCATAATATCCCTAATATCTATCCTTTATTATCCCTAATAAAATGTCGTGTATGAATAAGTACAAGGCATGTGGCAGGTGTGGCTGGAGTGCAATCTGTGTGCTGTGAGTGCATCTCTGTATAGCCGTGTGCCCAAAGTTCCTCCCGTGTTGTATGGGAGCTACACTGGCTGCTCTGGTAGCGCTAGAGGGGGCCCTAGGACAGAGAAGGAAAAGAAAAATTTTGGCGACGACGACGACACATCTAACCCCAACCCCTAAAATGGATGACCAGGAT